ACACAGACAGGACAATACACATAATCCCTAGACTTACACATGCTTACAGATTTCAACCTATAAAATTTAAGATGCTTGAAAAAAATCTGACACTTTGTTTGATTAGAGCAGCTGCACTGTTATTACTGGAACTAGTTTCACTGCAAGAAAGAATAACCAGCAACGTGCAAGGGAAGAATGTAGTTTCAGAGTAGTTTTAACCAGCCTGGTCATAAGCTGAGGCTGAAAACAATGCTGGTTTTGTCCTGCAACCTTCCATGCTCAACACAGCACTCACCTAGCAACTACACAGCATGAGCTGCTGCGGTTCACTGCAACCAACAAAAGATCAACTTCTGTCAATGCTCATTTTCATTCGGGTTGACAAAACAACCAGGCTCACCCTGTGGCCACAGGGCAACTTTTGGACCCTGTGGGAAGTGAATGAGCAGAGGGTGAAGGGCAGGATGGTCCCTCGCAGCAACAGGCCAGTGAGATCTTGTTAAGCATAGCATGAGATGCCAAGGATAACTGATACGTGGTGACTGAGTCTTTCCAGTTCTGTGATGAGACAGACATTTCAGCACATCTCTCCATCTCAGTCCCTCACACGATGACAGCGGCTCCTTTTTCCCCACAGGTGCAGCAGTAATTTACAGGCCTTTAAACTGGAAGGATGCAGGAAGAAATTCAGCATCAGCAGCAGTTCAACATCCCTTGTCCTTCAGCTGGAACCATCTTGACAGGAGAGCAGGCTACAGACAAGTCAAAAAAAAAAAAAAAAAACCTCTCCCAAAAATGGCCCTTCTGATTTGAAGATTAGGCTATTCTTCCACACAACACGTGGTAGTATTGCTACTTAATTCCATCTGATGAACTGTGATAGTTTCAAGACAACATGTTTGACAGCAGGTTGATTAGCAAACAAGAGGGTAAATATTTTTGTCCTTCATGCTTTTAGTTTAAAAATTGTATTCTAAGAACAAAACACAATCTAGTTTTACAAACAGAGCATACACTGTTACATAAAACAACATCTACACTCTAAACCAGATATTCCTGACAGCAATCCAATCAACACAGAAGCTATGGCTTCAGCCACACGTTCTCACATGTCTAGTAATTCTAGGGGCAGCTCGAAATGTCAAACCAAAAAAAAAAAAAAAAAGTATTAAAAATAGAGTAAGAGAATGCCTTGGAAACTACCATGAAAGAAACAGCTCCCATCTGTAAAGTAGCAAAGGCTGACAGAGACTAATACCTACCTTCAGGTCACCTGAGTCCCCCAGACAGTCTCTGTCCAGCTTAACCTATTTACAGTTATACTCTAATATCAGAACCAAGGAATGCTTATTGAATCTTTTACCTGTACATCTTTTGCTCGTTGCAAGGCTCTAAAACGGGGGTTTTCTGTACATGCAGAAAACTAACTACTAATACTCAAGACAAAGACATTCTCCCGTGGACCGTTGCAGCTCTCCCTTCCAACATTGATGGATGCTGACCAACTTTACTGGCAACAAACCATGTACTTAAACATGAGGGTAGAGAGTGTTGCAAAGCAACACAGATGGGGGAACTTTCATTTTTAAGTGAGGAGGGGGAAAAAGTTAACAGATTACAGCAGACAGTCTGCTCTAACAGATTGCAAGTACAAAATGGCCATCTACTTGGTATTTGGGATGCTTCACATCTTTGCTTGGCACAAAAGGATGGTCTGATCTCATCCATACCAGGCTGTGACTGACAAGTACTCAGCGTGTTTACTATTAAATACTGTCTCAGCAACTGATGTGTACACAATTGCTCAGACCTTACAAATGAGAAGAATGAGCAATCAAAGCAGACTAAAAGTCAAGTCCAAGCTCTACTTGAAGTTAACAAGATGGGCAGCCACAAATTGAAAAGCTATTCCCACCATTAGGGACTAAGAACTTGACAAGATTTACCACTCCGAGGAGTTTTCTGAGACTCTAAAAGAAATTACTATTTTCTTGTTGGTTTTGTATGGGGAAAAAAGGAAAAACCCTGCAGTAAACATTCCAAAAACTGTTGCAATAGCCAGTGTGTTTTAGAAGTAATAACGACCTGTACCTACTACAGCAGCAACCCACTGACACAAAACTTGAAAATTAAAAGATGTTTTAATTATGTGCTTCAAGTCTTCTGCTTCTTGACAGAAAGGAGAAGATACCCAATTACTACAAGGTATTTCACAAGTTCAAGTGTTTAAGTATAAAAGAATTTACAGGGCAAAGGGAAACGATTTCATTAAAACAAAGATCAGTATGTGGAACAGTGAATTCGAACCACTCCCTGTTTCCTGTGCATGAGTCCTCAAGACAATTCACATGCAATTAAGAATTCTAATTCTCTACTAGCTCCATTCCCTAGTTCCTTAAAGCTTTAACCAAACTCTTTTAGTGGAGTTGATGAATCCCAAATTGCAAAGTCTCAAACTGCATCAGAGGGTGGTTTGCTCGGGACATGCATGTCAGGACAAGCCCCCACGTCAGAAGTCAGCAGAGGGCACTGCCACACACCTACGAATTAATATTTTGCTGCTCTTTTGGCCCTGAAAAATAGTAGATCGGTCAGAGGAGGAGAACCGTGCCACAGCCAGAACAATTGCTGCTCCTTGCCATCAGCAGTCAAGACCACAGGTACTCCTGACGGCTGCCCACACACAACATAGGGACAGTGTGAGATACCCACAGCTCTCACAGACACAAAGTCACCACACCAGAATTAAAACGCTACAGAAACAAGGGAGAACCCCAGGTCTCCACAGCTACATAGTGGTTAAAAATATTTCCATGTTTCTTATGGCATTTGAGGCAAAGGCAGTACACACCTTCCAAAGTCCTAACACACAAGTCAGAGAAACAAAGTCACTGGAACAGGTATGTCTGGAAAGAGACCAGGAAGGGGAACAGATCAAAGAGGAAGATGGCATAATGGACACTGAGGAAAGAGGGCAAGGAGGACACTCTCAACACCACTGAATTTAGACCTCCAATGTCACACCACATCTACTTTTGTGCTACCTCTCACCTTCCGTTTCAACACGAATTTCACTTCATTAAGCAAAGTTAAACAATAGTCTCAAAGCCGTCCAAGTTCTCATTGAACACTTTCCCCTTCCTGGGAAGTTGAACACTGGCAAACTATTTAAGTCCCACAACTAGGAGACAAGGCCACAAGAAGGTGGAAAGGATCTATAAATAACATTAAGGACTCCATTTTTAGCAAAAATAATTAGGGCACACAAGTGAGTGACCAGTGGCAACCAGGAAACCAAACTACATGGAACTGCACAGTACATTACCCTTTATTGCCTTTTGCAATAAATCTGTGGAGAGCAGCAGCTGTTCTCTTCATTCCCTGTGCTATTGGTTAGGCTCACAGAGAACTTAATCCTCAAAATGCAAATACAACCCTTAGAAATCCATGTCAGGGGAAAAAAAACAGCTATCTATACAAGAATCTGGTCATCACAAATTGAGATGCTCAGCGTTGCTGTGATTTCCCTTTCAACCAACACAGTCTAAGTTGTTAAAATAAGAATTTTCTGGTCGATGCTCTTACATAAGGAGGCAGAAACAGGTTCAGCAGCCCCAACTCATGTACAGAAAGTAAGCTTATGCCTCTTGCCTCTGGCGCTGTGTATTGCCCATGGGAAGACCACACTGACAAAGTGCACCAACAGCAGTTCTTCCCACAGCCTCTCTCTTCCAAACCGGCATCGTCCTTTGCCAATTTGAGAACGCGATGCTCTACTTTGCAAGTTTCAATTACGTGACAAATCGCAAGGGGGTGGCAGCAAGGGAGAGGACTGCTGCTTATCTAGGTGAGTGGGCTGCAGCAGCAAAAAACCTCCGTGGTGGTTTGAGAGGGCTTCCTGACAACAAAGTTTTCAGATGAAATTACACCAGGCATCCTAAGGCGGGAATGTTTGTCACCAACGAAACATGGAAATCCTATTATTACACCCTGCTTTGGGTCGTACACTCCTGCCACATACTTTACGCTAATTCGGATGTTTGTTGGACTGCTTTGTGCGCAGATTCGCTTCATTTGCCTGGCAAAAACTCAGCAAATCTCAGCTCGAGGAAGACTGTTGCCCAAATCCTACTCAACGTTTATGAGGGAACATTATTCAAATGAGCGCAATAACCCACCAGTTTCACGAAGGAACAGCACAATGCCCGTGAAAAATACCGGAGGCTGCACTGCAGTTTATTACTCTTTCTCAAACAGAACTTACACAACGTGTAACGTGATACCTCCCACCTGAGAAAGCTTGCCTCTCTGGCTGCCAAAAACTCGACTTTACGAAGCCCAGAACGCAAAGTAGACCAAAAAGACAAGACTACCAGAGTACCTGTTCATCAGCTGGTGACCCGTACTGACCACACACCCCCATCCCGCACTCGCCGCCCTTCTCACAGCCCTCTCAGCTCTGCCATGAGTTAGAGAGCAACCAGATTTCATAGGTTATGATCGGCCACAAGCTAAAAAGATTTACAGGTTACTTTACATCAATTTACAAGCAACGGTGTGACAGGCACAAGCAGACCGAGTTTGTCGGTTCTGCAGCCCCAGGAAACTCGCACTTAGAGCAGGAGAAACACGGAGCGACCAGGAAGGACGAGCTGTGCTCGCCAGGAACCCGGTGCGGTTTTGCGGGAGTTTCGGGGCGCACAAGGACTCTCCGAGGCACAGAACGCTCAAGGGGCGCGCAGGGTGCCCGGCTGCGGGGGACCGCGGGAAGGAAGAAAGGGACGCCGCCTCCCCCGGGATCACCCCCCGCCGCGGGAGATGAGCCGCCTCCCGCCGCGCCAGCCCGGCACTCACACGACCGCCCGGGAGATCATCCAGGACACCATCGCGGCGGCAGCAGCGCGTCCCCTCAGCTGCCCGGGCCGCAATGGCCGCGGCCCCGCCCCGCCCGCGGCATCCGCGGCTGTGCGCATGCGCGGGGCGGGGCCGGGGCGGGAGGGGAGGCCCGGCCCTGAGGGGACGTCGCCGTGTGTGAGGGGGTGGAGGTGCCCGACTGCGGTGAGAAGTGTGTGTGTGTGGGAGATACTCACTCCTTGGCTTGGCTTTTCCCCTGTGCCCGCCCATGCGCTTACGTTTGCTGTAAGACTCACCAAAACCTCCGTGTCACCCGCTGAAGTCACCTCAGTGTGGTGGGACATGGTGCTGGAGGGGTTAGATGAGGGTGCTGTGTGTCGCCCGGCTGGAGCCCTCCATAAGGAGGAGCAGAGCGGGGGGCAGCGGATCCCTGGGCTCCAGCACCCCCTGAATCGCCCCGGGAAGGCGCTTGTTGACGAGCACTCGGTACAAAAGGCTGTCTAAGGACACATCCTTGGGCGGTGGCAGATTGCTATGTGCAGGTAAGCCAAGACTTCGGGTGAGCAGCAGAATACCTGTTGGAAGGATTAGTGCCTGTGCATCCTGTTACCTTTGTTCCTTCCCTACACACCTTGTTATCAGCTGCTGCCCAAGGCAGAACAGCAGGAGAGCCCACAGCACGACCCTCTCCAGGTATTCCTGCCGAGCTCAAGGTCTGGCAGGTCGGGACATGCAGGAGAAGCTGACTGCTCCCTGATAGATTGCCTAATCCATTGCAATCCATCCCCGCATACCAGCTTTACACTTCCTACAGAACTGTTGCACACATAAAAGGACAATATTTTGCTAAAACTGACTCTTCATCTTCTCTCAGGAGAGGAGGTTGTGCGAAGTCCTGCCCGTGCCATCGCTGGAAACATTCAACTTTACTCCTCTGATTTCAACACAAGTTACAGAGTAATACCAAAGCGACAGATATGGATGCCACTGAAGGTGCCACTAAGGCAGCTAAGGTAGGGAAAGAGCAGGTTACTGTTTCAGTATTGCTCCTGCTGACTCTCACAGTAAGTGACATCCAAAGTCAGCATCACCATCTGTAGCAGAAATTAGTTCTTTAACAGGTCTTTAAGTGAAGATAATGTGCAGTTTCCCTGCCTGCCATACAGCAAGAAGAAAGAGCTTAATCTTTGTAAACTACTGACTGCCTTATTCAGATGAGAGGTGCGAGGTGAGTGCAGGATGGTTTCTGTTCCACAGGCAAGCACCAGAATTCCTCACCTTCTCCAACGGGTATAACCCAGCCACAGGTATCTTCACTCCCTTGCAGCCTTCAAACACATGTGCAGTCAAAAGGCCAAGAGAAGGGAAAGAAAGAGGGTGAATAAACAATCGTGGAACATTTCAACAATGACAACGTTTGAAAACTCTTGCTATAGTTGGATATTGTGAAATTTGAAGCCTGAAATGGGAAAGTATACATTATAAAAATTTTTTAACCATGTAGGAATTTTGGTCTTGCAAATAATGATATTGCCCATCTTGGGTGTCTCCTCAACTTGACCTTTGAAAGGGGTTACTGATGCAGGAAGAGGTAGAGAGGAATTTGTTTGTGAGCAATTTAAAGTACACCATTCATCAATCTCAGTTTTGAAACAGGCCTAACCTGAATGCGTTCTTCCTTTCATTCAATGAAAAGAAAAATCTGAGCCACTACTTCTATGCTCTCTGAATAACAAACCCCTCCAGTGGCAGACTGTACAGAGCAAACTCACACAGCAAAGCATTTGTAATATAAATTACCTGGGAGAGATTACATTTTAGGCTCCAGCTCTGTAAACTCCTGCTGCCTGCTTGACGCTGCACTGAAGTTTGTAGCATTCCAGTCCCTCCAGAGCAAACTGCAAGATGAGAGTTCCACTTTACAGCACGTGAAATTAAGTATACAATACATTTGTTCACCACAAGCAATTGTGTGTTTGGTACAAGCTCAGAGAACCATTCCAGGAAAAAACTGATACTCTTTTTTACTGTCTGAGATCATGTATATAATAATTCCATAGCTGCATATTTTATTTCATATGGAGTATGTTTTAAAAGAAAACCACTCCTTATTTTGTAGCAAGACATTTATTTTTCTTGCGTTTGTTGCCATGGCAATACTGTCTCTGGTGGAAAGCTAAATTTACATTTAAAGAAGCATTTTTTTAAGGGGTAAAGGCAGATGGCTTCTAAGAGTAATTTACCTTGCTAAGAAGATTAAACTTTATTTCATAGAATGTTTTGAGACTTAATTCAGTGCAGCAAGCTGGGTGCTGTTTGCTGGGCCCCCAGCAGACAGACACAGGGATGCCACGTGAACTTCCCTGTATTCCAGTTCACACATAATGATAATCCATGCTCCTGCACTGCAGAAGTAGAGCAACATGGCAATTAAATCCATGCCATGTACTTATTCAAACCTGGTGTGTCTTACTCATATGTCTGCCTATTTTTATCTAAGGAGTTATGTAAGGAGGAGACTTCCAGGTATCTCATTATGGGATATTTTTGACACTCCTTCCAAAAGCCACTTAATGTAGTTAAAAAGTTCTTGTAAATAGTTTTAGCACTGTTTGGAGAGTCATTTGTAAAGGCCACCTAACTTCTTTGATATAATACAATATGTGTATACAAACATCAGTGTTTAACTTCAACGTCTTTTACAGGTAAACCAACATCTCAATTACGTTGCAGATGTGCAAATAGCAATTGAGCCACATTTAGGAAGACATGAGCTAGTTTCTGAGAGAGGGATTCAGCTCCCTATATTAAGAGGATGTGCTCCCCAAAGACAGCATCACCTATGTTAAAAATGCATATAGGTTAATCACAGTGCTGAGCTTTTCTTAACTTTGCTGATTTGTATTAATCTATTCTAGAGGAGTCTCAAATATAGAACAACTTGAAAAAATACAGAATTCTCTCAGTTACTGAATCATGTCACATATTTGTGATTTTGGTATTAGAACACAGAACAGGTGATGCCAGTTTACTTGTTGAAACAACAAAATACAGAATGGGTGAAAATAACCATTTCTAAGCTGGTATGATTATTAACTAATATGGCTGAAATTCATGGTTCATGCTACTTTCAAATATTTAACTCCTCATCTGTCTTTCATATGAAGCAACAGCAAAGGTAGGTTCTGATCTCTAAACAGCCCAGTAGTCCTTCTGCCTTAATGAGATTTCATTTGAGAGAGAGTGTTGGGCAATGCTGTGGACATTCTATGAACTCAAAGCAGCTGAAGCTTTTGCACAGAATTCTGGACATGCCACTTCTTGCTCCCATGTGTGTTCAGCCTCCCAGCACAGCACCTCCCCAGGGAACAAGGCAAAGCTCAAACTGCCACAACAACAATGGGCTGTCTTAAGCTATGACAGTATCTAACACAGCTGTGTCTTAAGCTATTTTTTTTTCCCCAACACACAGACAGACAGAATGCCAAGAGGCCATATGTTTATCTTTTTCATAAGTGTTATTGTGATATTTGTTAACATTTCAAATTAGTCACATGAAGCATCCAACTTAATGAAAAAACAAATAGTTTTAAATTGATATTTCTGCCTTTTTTTTCCCTTCATTTGGCATGTTTAATCACTGTTGTTCTCACAGTTTTATTACACACAGTCTGACATTCCTTTTAAAGCTCTTGCTTCTATATGAATAAAGTCCTTAAGTTTTGAATCATTTCTTCCCCTCATGTTCAGAGATACACCTGCAAATGCAAAACCTGAAAACACAAACAGCAACATGATGTAAAATTCATGGTTTAGGGGGTTTCTTGGAGTCATTTTACCAACTTTCAGGGCCCTGACAATTTCAGTTAGCTCTGCATTTTAAGCAGTGTGGAATTTGGAATTAAAAAAGGCATCTGGTTGGAGTTGTAGGATGACTGCACTACATAGTAGAGGGAAATCTTTGCAAGATGAGTAAGCAACAACAGGCCCATGGATTTTTTCCTCCTAAGACTACAAAAGAATGAAGTCTAGCACTGTTAATTCTGTGAGTTATAGGTCAGGAAAAGCAAATAAGGCTGGGACAAAACACCAAAAGCAACTCAGAACAGCCCTGTCAATATAAAGCCAGAGCATTTTCATCACTGCAGCACTAGCCTGTTTTGACTGCACCAGGCAATTCAGACAGAATCCAATTAATTTGATTAAAAGTACAAACATTAAAAGGATACTCTGCTTCCTATTTTAAAGAAAATTCACCATGCAGTGAAAAGGCTTGTCGTGAAAAGGCAATCACTATTGATTTGTTTTATCAATTTTTAATGGCTTGCAATGGGTTAAGTGCCTCTAATTCCTTCTTACCAGAAACATAAGAGCACCCCTTAGGATTTTTTTTTTCCTGAAGGGAAATGTGATCTAAAGAGGAAGGGGAAAGTTCAGAACAGCTCCATCTGAGATTTTCTCCTGGCAGCAGTCATATGTCCATCCTACCTTATTGCTTCCATTTGGAGCTGAAAGCATACGAAATGCAGCCCCACAAGCGCAAGCTGAGGCAATAGAGGAGCTGATTTCCAGCTCATCAGGAGCACCCACGAGGCTCTCACAAAGCAACTCTGCTGCCCCTGTCACTTCCCTGTGTCTGCTATGATAAGCCACAGAGAGAGAGGTCTGACGTGTTGTACTGGACCTGCAAGCATTACTCTGTATCTAAAAGTGTGACCACACCAGTACAGCCCAGCAGGGCAGTCCCCTGGACAAGTTGACATAGGTTATTTTCCCCTGTTCCCAAGTAGAACAGCATTAAAGCTGTTAACTTCTTCAAAAGCTGCAAATGAATGTTTTAGTAAATATATGCCTCTCTCCTGGGAGCAAACCCATTTTAAAAGATGGGCTTCACATACTCTGGTATCTGATGATCCACTCTCTGGGATTTGAAATCTGTACACAGAGACACAGACCAAAGCCATATTATTCCTTCCTGTCTGGGTAGTGTCATCTCAGCTATATTCCATCACTACTTGTGATGCGTCACATTTAATAATTATAGCAATCTGTTAGAGATTTTTTTTTTAAAATACACTTTGTGCTTTTGATGTTTCTGATCCCTATGGAAAGCTTATGCTATTTTATAGTCTGCTGACTAAGCTCATGTGCACACCAGCTGCATTTTATCAGGAAACAATGTTTGCCTTTTGAACTGGCTGATAGATTTTACTTAAAATGAAGGAGATATACATTCTTTGGCAACACTTAGAGCCTTGTTCAGCACAATATCCATTTGCAGAAAGTCACAGTCTCCAGCCAGCTAAGCAGTGCAGCAGCCCATGACCATCAGCCCAAAAGAGGTGGAAAAAACCCCCATATCTTTGAACTGGAAAGGACCCCAAATTTATCTGCTGCACAACGAAACTAGGATCACCTCATGCCCTTTGGGCAGATGTCTTGTCCTACCTGTTCCTGAAGCCTTTTAACAGAGATTACACACCTTTTCTTACTATGTTTACTAGCCTTTCATTATCCTACTGGGAAGCTTTTCCTTGTATCAAAGTTAAGCTGAGTCAAGGGGTATTCTGGAGTTTTTATCCTGCCTCCACCAAGCTTGGAAGGAAAAGCGTTAACTTCCTTCACAACAATGTCAAAAAAACCCCAAAACCAGTACTTAAGCTATTAAATCATCCCTTGAATAAATAACCTCAATTCCTTAGGGGATATTTTCTAGACCTTTCCATTCCTTTTATTACATCCAACTCTACTGAAATGCAGAGGCCAAACCCCACACAGAGCTTGAGAGGAGCCTAATCAGTACCAAGAGCTGAAGGACTACATCGTACATTATCCAGCAACTCAAAGGCTGCCAGCAAAGGACACCAGGCTATTCAGGTTTCCCTTTCTTTCTCTCCCAGGGCAGCACACTACAATTAGCTGGGAGAGCTATCCAGGGGGAACACTCCTGTGAGCCAGGATAGCAATTCCCATGTACAACCCAAAATTAGCCTTTAGACAGCTGACCCCACTA